CTATATTCTTTCCCATAGTCTCACGAATGTTTACACTGATCCCTGCATGCTGAGAAGACCTGGAATTAGCCTGAGTCATTCTACTAAAATAAGGAATAAGCCTGCACAGCACTGACCTGAAACATACCGATTTGCCAGGTTTCTGTTCTCAGGACTAAAAGGCTCAGAGGTCACTCCAGATAATCTGGGCTAACTGGGCTGCACAAAATATCCACACAAGAGACACAAATACCTTTTTCTTTGGGGTCACTGTGACGGCTCCTCTGACCTTAAGGGTCCGAAGAAAGAGAGAGAGTGAGAGCACGTGCTGACCCCTTTTATTGAGGGGAAGCTCATTTGAATATGAGGCAAGGGGTCAGGTTTCAGGGGGCTGAGTCTATCTTCATGATGTCCACTGTCAGCAGGTTGACTGGCACCTGGGTAGGCCACACCCAAGGGCACAGTAAGAGAAGGGGACACACACAAGGCACTTCCATGGAAGATTCTATCCTAAACAGGGCAAGGGGTTATATTACAAAGGAACAGGTGAGCATAGCTTCACCCATGGGGCTGTAGCAAGACACACCCATGCATGAGACACCGACCCTCGGACCCAAGAAGGGTGGGGAAAGCTCTGCCACATTTCTGTGACTGAGCGCCTCAGCACCCAGCCGGGGAGTGTAACTCAGTCACGGGTAAGGTTGGTCTCACACACTGATTGATAGCTTTGTCTCAAAACCGTGTGCCCTAAGAGTTTCAGGGTGTTTTGTACAAGCAAATCAACATTGTTTATTGATAACTGAGCCTGTTTATTTGTATCTGGTGAGACCCTGGAAGGGCTGATTGTATAGCAGCATGTACTGTGGGCCCAGCGTGGTACAGGAAACACTAGCTGAGACCCCAGTTGGGTGTTCCTTTCACATTCAATGCTTTTCCACCTGAGAGAAAGTAGATCCTGAGAAGAACTTGGTAAAGAGAAGACAGTTGGTGCCTACAGGTAGCCTCTCAGACCCCTTACTGTAAGATGGCTGTTAGTTGCAATACCTAGCTTTTCTTTAATGAGATTGCACATTGTATCCTTTCCTGTAATAAACTGTAGGCTTCTAAGTATCATTTTGGGTTCTGTGGGTCTTCCCTCCTAACTGTTGTTAGTATGTTCCCATCTACTGAGGTTTCCAGAGTTCTCTCTCAATCTTACAACCCAGAGGAGCCTAATGGACTCTGCAGGTGATGCATTTGAACTGGGGATATCCATTAGCAGGTGACTGAAGTAATAGTTTCCTCAACATGATGATTAAAAAATAAAAGAAAGTTCCCTCTCAAGGTAGAAGGGCCTGAATCAGGCAGGTTTGGGGAGTCAAGTGGAAGGGGAGGTTGGACTGAGTAACGAGGTAGAATTAACAATGATGGTTCAGTGACCAATTAACTGGATGTGGTTTAAGCATAGGGAGTTTGAGGAAGGAGGCAATGACGATGAAGGTGACGAAGGTTTCAACCAAGGGCAATAAATCCAGCTGTGATAATTGTTATTTGAGCAATCTCTATAGAGAAATCTCCCCTTGTTCTAAAAGAACTGTGAGTTTTACAGGTGAGTTGAAGAGCTAATGTTACAGTGTTACATCCAGGGATATAAAACTTGATAAGGAAATCAGGTTTTATTAAAAAGACTTCTGGTGAACACTGAATACCCCTTGTGTATGCTCATTTGTTTATGATCGTTATTCTGACATTCAACCAACAAACACCAAGTACTATTTGGATCAAGAACTGTGCCATGTGATTGGCACAAAGGCAAATATGAAGGTCTCTGATCTCAAGGTACTTATTAGGTAATGCCACTAAATATTTGACAATAAAGAGACAGGTGTAAAGTGGAAGAGTTTACTGTATATTGGGGAAATTCAGAAGTCATGAAATTGTGAAATAACAATTTGAGTTTTAAAATGAAATTTTAATTATAAAAACGATTTACCATTCTAAGTCTTTCGGTTGAAGAAAAAGCATTTTTTTTCCCTTCCAGTCCCCATGGAATTATTTATTTCAGCCTGAAGTTAGGAAAATCCCACTATTTTGCAGTATAGCTCTGATTGTCCTCAGAATCCCATAAGAATGGGAAAATCCATCCACAACACTCTAAGGAACAGGATTTCAGAGTCTGCCAAATTGCTGCTTTTGGTGGACACAGGAATGGAGGAAGGAATGTAGCAAAACTTTCTTTTTTTTTTTTTATTAGTTGCTCATGACAATACAATGATCTTGACATATCATACATTTGAATCAAAGGGATTCTCCACTTGAGAGAGTATGGCTGCTGATCTCCATTACCCACTTGTATCTCTGCTCTTCTTTCTCTCACTAACTGGACCAGTTATGCCTCAGCTGAAACCAGATCTATATTCACTAGGAAGCAGAACTCTGTTAATTGTTTAGAGCTTGAAGAAGAGTCAGAAAGCATCAGAAACTCAGGACTGCATTCTCCTGATTCTTCCTGGTGTTAAAAGACTGACATTGTCATTGTGATATGTCCAGTTGGTGGATGGTTATGATTAATCTCACTGCACTAAAAAGGACATGGGCATAAAGCTTAAGTGACTTGCTCACCATGAATAGTGAGTCTGTATGGGCCACTGAACCCAGGCTCCCATGGGATAGGTGCTGTGTTTTTCATTGTTCTGTGTTACTCTGGTGCCCTCAAAGTCTACTAGGCAATGCCAGGTCTTGTAGCACAGCAGTGATAGATGAATTCTGGCATCTCTCTACTCCCAGACAAAGAGAAATTGGCTCCGTAATTTCCACCCTAATGACATCTCCTTTGTTTTAAAAAGCACACAACCTTTATTTCTTCCATCTGGAAGGAAAATGAGGAACCCTCTACTTTTTAACTCCCCAAAGCCTGGAAACCATAGACTAGATACTTTTGAGATTCTGACTTCTTTTGTATGATTTGCACTTTCACTATCAGTTTTAGAATCTTTCTGGGGTGAAGAGGTAACAATCATTTGATAACTATTAAATTATGAAAATTTCCTAGAATAATGCTTGGCACATAAAAGTGCTATGTCAATGCTTGCTCTTGACATTACTATGTAGTAATAAGTGCTCATTTTGATTGGTTATTTCAATGGATAAAACACATAAACCAAGCAATGCAGCATTATAATGTCTTAATTTTATAAGACAGAGTCAGAAAACACTCCCTTAGCTAAGACCTGCAGTGGACAATACTAATTAACCCCTGCACACCGTGGGGTCCAAATGGGCCTTGCAAAGTTCACTATATCCCCCTAGGTAGCTACCCACCAATCAGCTAGCATTTGTACCTGAGATAAGACCATTTGCCCTCCCCACTGAGCTGGTGTTCTAAGAACCCTCCAGAGCTCTGACAGTCACAGTGAAAGAGGCGTAGCTGAGTTATTCTAAGCATGCCCAAGCCTTCCCAGCTTAAGGCCACAGTGAAACCAAGGCCAAGCCTATTTGGCCATGTCCACACCCAAACACATTCTTGATTTGACCACTTCATTCTTTGAGATTCTTGACTTTAGACAGCAGTCTTTGGCTGAATATGTGTTCAGCATGAAGATATCTGAATTTTGCTCAAGTGTTTAGAATAAGCCCTTTCTGAATCAGAGACTTGGTTCTAAATGAAAAGACTGGTTTGGCTTGGTGGTATAGGTGTCCTTGTATATAAAGTTAGTAAGAGAAACCCTTAGTTACATGCAAAAATAATTTCTTGCAAGTTCAAAAGTCTTAAGCGTACCTTGGACAACTGTATTTTACTTCATTATTAGGTAAAAGAAAAACCCTATATTTCTGGTTCCGTATTTTATGAAGGACAAAAACATGTATTTAAACATTGTATAATATAAGTGATAGCTTGCCCCTACAAGATAGCTCTTAAACTGTTTAGCCCTATAATTTAAACTAAGTTCTAATGCTGAATATAACTTTTAGTTTATTTTTTAAGTTGAGCTAGTGACATCTTTATTTTTCAACTTACTTCTAATATTAATATCCAACCCCAACCCAATAGACATTTAAAATGTGTCATAGAAATTTAGAAATATTTTTTAAAAAATATTGCCTGTATATAAAATTCCATCAAAGGGCCACAGAGCCAGCAACTTCCCAGTTTCTGTTCCTACTGCTGTTGCCTTGCCTTCCCATCTGGACATTTCTACATCTTGTTATGGTCAGTGCTGCAGGTGTAGCTCAGGTGAGCTGAAGCTTTCAGGAACAATCTTACAGAGAGGATTTGGTTAATTGTTGGTTTGGCTGATGAATAAGGATGACCCAGGAAACTCTAATGACCAAGCATCTCTGGCAATGTTCCAGATGTACTGAGTTTCTTTAAGGCCTCCTTGGCTATTGTGAAAGGTATATTTCAGAGCCTATTAATGAAGCCCCCACCCACGATGGCTTTTCTGTATTATTCCTCCCTCATGCTGCCCCCAGCTGTGAAAGAAGTTTCAACCATCTTTTTGACATTTTCCTTTAACATATGTAAAATAAGGATCAGACTTTTTACATGTCAGTATGTATTTTTCCTCTGATGGTTCTACAGAATGTTCCATGTACAGAATTTGTGCAACTGATTCATTCCGTATCTCTGATCCCAGAGTTGCTGGATTCCCGAGGACTTTCCTTTCCTAATCAAGTAGCATACTCCCTGTGTGGGTCTGTCCCACACTCCAGGCACTAGGGGCAAATAGGGATCCCTTCTACAGAGTCTTTGTTTTGCTTTTTAACATGGAATTGAGAATAGTTGCATGCTGTGCAGCAACTATGCTAGTGAAATTGTTGTATTTTTGACATCAGTTAAAAAGGTGATAACAGGAGCATTTTGAGCATAACATGGCCACAAATTATATGGAGAATTCACCACACAAAGACAGTAGTCCGGGAGTGAGACTGTTTTAATTGAACTGGTATTTGTACAAGGCGACACCCTCTCTTTCATACCACCCACCTCCTCCCTGAGTGACTCAGCGCCAGGAGAGAAGTTTCAGACTGTTCATTAATTCAGTCAGGTAGAGGTAGGAACTGCACTGAGAAACTCCAGGCAGATCTGCTGGGGAATCACTGCAGGCTGGTTAGGTAGAGTCCTGGTTTTCTGCTCAAGAGGTAAGTTGAATTATATTTGCAACACAAATACACCTGCTTTACTTTATGCACATAACTTTCTCTGTTTTCTTTCCAAATGATTAAAATTAGGACTGTCTGTATTATCTTTGTATTTTTTTTTTCAGTTAAATTTTGACAGCTTCTAATGGGTATTGTGTTTGTCAATAGCTCTGCTCTTCCTGGTTGTGCTTCCAGATCGCATAGCTTTGAACTTGGCAATTATATGTATTATGGGCTTCACAGAAATGAGAGCTTTTCAAGTTTCCCATGTGTTATCTGTCAGCTGGTGAATCCTCTCACACTCAAGCATCATGAATGCTTCAGTAAGGGACCAGCACTCTTTGGTCTATTTTCTCAAGTGACTGTAAAAGCAATTTTTTAAAAAAATCTTCCTGTTTTCATAAATGATTTTTTTCATGAAATAGCAAACTATTTCATTAGTTTTCATATTGTTTTGCAGCTCATAAGGCATATTTGTTTTTTTCTTGACTGCTAAAAGCACTGCACATTGCTGAGCTGTGAGAGATGCCAAAACCACATTCCCTCCACCCTATCTTCCCAAGGACTGAAGGCAGGGTAGGTGATTGATGCCAAAACCACAGTCCCTCCACCCTATCTTCCCAAAGACTGAAGGCCAGGTGGGTGGGTGTGTGGGGGTGTGATTCTCCATAGGGATTTGTGTGCATTTGGCCAACTTCTCTAAGTTATATTCTGAATTCTAAACTAAAAGCTGATTAAGATATACTTAAGATATACAGGGGCAATTTTTCAACCTCTATTCTTATCCTAGTCCTGAGAAACCAGTTTGGAAAGCCTTTTGATAAGAATATAAAAGTTATTTTAACCAGGTTTTCTTTTATAAGTAATAGCTAAGCTGTCTTGTTTTACTGGTAGTTTTTTTTTTCTCACTATTTCCATTTATAATGCAGAGCTGTAGGGATCAAACAGTTTGTGACTAGCAGCCTCATGCCCTGCAGTGAGGCATTCCCCATTATAAGAACTAGAGTTTTCATTGCTTCCTACTGTTGCCCAAACCACCTGAAGTCTCAAGGGGTTTAGATATGTCAGTGCTAAGTTCCAGTGGTTTACTGGAGAATTTTATTACTTGGTTTTCCAACAGTTATAGTACTTAGAAAGCTAAAGTATAGCATTTGGGGAGTCTAATTTCATTTTTCATAAAATATAATTACATTAAACCTGGCTTTTGTTTCCATAGTTTATAACATAGATATGGCCTTTCTGATATTTGTTGTATTCCGGTGTCTAAAACATTAAAAAAATCAATTTGAGGAAACTAAGGTATGACAGTACTTAAAATTTTACCAAAACTTTTGGATGAATCTAAATATCAGTGCATATAGGTAACCCAGAGAAACATATCAGAAATCTATTTGTTGTTGTTGTTGTTTGTTTTTTGGTACTGGGGATTTAACTCGAGGTGCTTTACTACTGAGCCATATTCCCAGCACTTTTTATGTTTTATTTTGAGAAAGGGTCTAGCTACGTTGCATAAGGCCTCCCTAAGTTGCTGAGTCTGGCTTTGAACTTGCAATCCTCCTGCCTCAGCTTCCCAATTGCTGGGATTGCAGGTGTACTTCACTGCACCTGGCTCAGATCTGTATTCCTATTGAAATTTCAATTGCATATTAATCTTAGATTTAATTGACATAATCTTTTAAATTGGAACTGGGCAGAGATTCATTTAGTCTAACTCCTAAATTTTCTAGATGAGGGAAGCAAAGCATAAACTTGCCAGTCTCAGAGTATCAGAATCAGAATGTGAAGCTAGATCATCTGTCTTTTGTCTTAATGGGATTTTCTCAATAATTTTTCAAATATCTTCCATATAAAATATGTAGTAGCAATAAATGAGCTATACTCCATCTTTTATAAAAGGACTACAAATGATTTGGAAAAAAGAATTTCCTTACCCAGCACTATGTGAAAATGTTATTACCGTATGTATGGTATGGTCATAGGATACATTTCTCACTTGCTTGTGGAGTTAGTCTTTTTATTTAGTATGTCCAATGGCCTCTGGGTCAGAAGACAGTCTGGAAGTTGTGTGTAGGTGTGGGATATGCAACTTGGGAACATCTTCACCTTAGCTACCATTGTTTACCTGGCTGCCCTCTCTAACTCTCAGATGTTGACTGAAATACCTGAGGATTCATATTACTGGGGACTTTGTAAACAAAATGAAGAGGGTACGTTTTAAACGACTGAACTCATACCATGGAATGAACTGCTATAATTTACCAAGCAGTCAACCTGAGAAAACATTAATTACTTCACTGCTAGCATCTGTTATGATTGAGGCATTACCTCTGAGCATTCTTAGGTGTGAGGTGCTAGAATCCTGGGTCCAGCAGTCAAAGAGAAATCTCTTTTGGTTCCACATAGCTTCTCTTTTGCCATTATCCTGCTTCTAGGCCATTTATTGATCTTTTTTAAAAAATATTTTTATGAGTGGTTGATGAATTTTATTTATTTTTTATTTGTATGTGGTGCTGAGAATCGAACCTAGGGCATGACACATGCTAGGCAAGTGCTCTACCACTGAGCCACAACTCCAGCCCCGGTTATTGATCTTTCTCCATTTTTTCTTCCTGAGAAGTTTGAAATAAAGTTTTCATGAGTTAATTACTATGCCTCTATACAGGTATTCAGTGTTTCTAGTTTACTGATGCACAAATCCATGTGATTTTAGGATTTGGAAAATGATCTTTTTTAGATGCAGGCTTTGCCAAAGGAAAGCTTCATTTATTAGACTTGCATTTTATGTAAGTTGCTAAACTTTTTAAGGATTTGAATCATCCTTTCATTATGATCATTAATTGGAAGAGTGAATTTTATAGCTATCTGTTAAACACCAACTGTCTTACTTCTAGTCACAAAAACCAATAATCCTAAATGTTCATTGTAATTGTACACTTGAGACCTCTAAGAATCGAAATAATTTATTCTTTGCCTCTAGATCCAAATTTCCTCAACTCTAAAATGTTAGTAAGTCTCCTGTGTGTGGAACCTCTTGGGGAAGACAGTGAACTCTAGATAGTACTTTTCAACCAGGGGTGCGCATATTATAGGAGGTTGTAGCAGTGATCTAGAAAGTGCACAAAACTCACAGTAAGCAAGGTACTTCTCTGAATGGAGAGCTAATTTTCATCAAAAGGTTCTAGAGAAAATGATCCCTATGGCCCTGCCTTTTCCCTTTTGTCATCCGGGAGCTAATTGTGTATGAGTTCAGAGGGCATCTAGGTACAGAAAGCGCAGGAGACTGGACTCCAGTTAGACTTGATTTTAAATCTCCTGAAACCGGAAATAGCCCATGATGGAACTCAGGTGATAGGTAATTTATATTGGATTGCATTTTATTCATGAATAATAGTGTCTTTTGTAAAATTAAATTGATAATTGTCCCAGAGAGTAGGATACTATTCTAACAGAACATTGGCATTATTCTGTAGAACAGTTAAGGGCCATATATTAAAACCAAGAATCAACGGAGAGAAAAATTTGTGGTGGAAGGGGGTTATAAAGACTCAGAAAATTTGGAGCATACAGACATTGGGTAGCAAAAAGATTTCATTTGTGATGTATTCTGTATTATTTCACTATAAATTAAGTAAGATTCCCAAACATAGGCTGTGAGGCTACGTGAGGAAAGAAATAAACCATTTCTAACCATAGCAGCAGGATAAACAAATCTTTGCCTGCCTGGTAGATTTTTGGATTTCCTTCAATTGCTTCGTACTCAGTCTAAACATAGTCGTTTGGGTCTGGTGGGCCCATTTAAAATTTAACTTAAGGGGACTTATTAACATTTATATTTTATGAAACACATTTATACTTTATGAAACCTGGTTTGTTTTCACCTTACATAATATTTCATGTCCTTTAGTGGATAACTAGTTGTTGGATGATTTGTTTTGTCTTCTAAATGAGAGTGCTTCTGTTTATTGGTCTATAATTATCAGGTCCTCCTTATTCTTCTATTGAAAATGGTTTGTAGCATATGTCCTTTTCCACTTCAAGGCATTTCCCCTGTTTCAGTGATTTCTGGGAAATAAGAGCTCAGGACTTTTTCATACATGAAGATGAATTCCACTTGGCCCATTTACCCCTTGTAAAATGAGGGTAATGGACATGTTTGCTCTATTTCTTTCCTCATTCTACTTTGCATTACTGTGGACATTTTCCCTAAGCAACTACTCACATTTCTTTCCATAAAGATAACAATTGCCATAAATGTCTTAGAAGCTTGATAAATTGATGGGAAGATTTTGGAGAAAGGAAAGATCCAATTGTCAGAAAATTTGGAGCATACAGACATTGGGTATGCTCATTCTATGCTGATCTCATGATGCTTTCATAAAACAATCAAAGAAAATCCTCTCTGGGTCTAGCTTCATCACAGTGCTGTCCTGCAAAGGGACTGTTCTTCTTTTCACCATTTATTTTAGCCCAGTAACTTTCCACCTGTTGGTGCCCTTTTGTTTCCCAGGCTTCTGAGACAGGTACTTCGGTGTCAGTCTGATTTGAATTTGAATCTCAACTGTGCAATTCAGTAGTTATGTAGCCTCAGGCAAACTACTCAGCCTGAGATTCCTATCTAGAAAAATATTTTTAAAAGTAGTTTTTCCCACTGCCCACTTGACTAACTCCAGTCCTAACTTCCTATAAAATGTCTCTAACTTTGTTGCAATAATTTGTCTTAAGGTTTTATTTAGGTTTGCAACAAGGATAATAATAGCAATAACCTGAAAATGTTATATGAAGCATAAATGAAATTATATATAAATACATAATACACATAAGTGTTTTATATATATACATACATATATCTCCGAATTACCCCAAGACACAAGATATCAGCAGTCAGAGTTGAGTTCCTTTTATTGTTTTTTCTCACCTTCCCTTATCCTCTGTTCATCTATTCTTGCTACAGGGTTTTTCTATTCCTCTTTGCTTTTTCTGTGTTCTCTTCTTTATGGGCCCCTCTCCACCCATTCCAGTTTCTTTGCTCTCAGCAATCTATTTAAAGAGAAAGTTTGCAGGAAGAAGTAAAGATATTTTTAGGTAAGCCAAGTGGCATTTTGTCCTTGGGTATGAAGGGAAGAGTGAGAAAAAAAAAAAAAAAAAAAAAACCAACTTTCTTTTGAGAAGACCCAGACAATGAAGAGAATGGTAGCTGAGCTGGGACCCATAGAATTCTTGGTGTTGGAACAGGATAGGGGCTGGAACTGGTCTTGGGGAGGAGTGAGTTACCTGAAGATTCCTGGGAAGTGCCTTGATTAAAAAGAGAAAACACTAGGCAGCCTGGACCCATGCCTGTAATCCCAGTGGCTCAGGAGGCTGAGGAAGGAGGATTGAGAGTTCAAAGCCAGCCTCAGCAAAAGCAAGGCGCTAAGCAACTCAGTGAGATCCTGTCTCTAAATAAATTGAAAGGGGCTGGGGATGTGGCTCAAGCGGTAGCGCGCTTGCCTGGCATGCGTGCGGCCCGGGGTCGATCCTCAGCACCACATACCAACAAAGATGTTGTGTCCGCCGAAAACTAAAAATAAATACTAAAAAATCAAAAAATAAACAAATAAATAAATTACAAAATAGGGCTTGGGATGTGGCTTTGTGGTAGAGTGCCCCTGAGTTCAATCCCAGGCTAAAAAAAAAAAAAAAAGGAAGAAAATACCGGGCTGGCGGTGGGAGGTGGGAGGTGTTGCTCCCTGGTCAAGCATTTCCCAAGCATGTGTGAGGGCTGAGTTTGATCCCCAGCACTGCAAAGGAAAGGAAAGGAAAGGGAAAAAAGGAAAGAGAGAAAAAACACTAAAGGAAATCGAGAAAGGCCATAAACGAGGTGAGAAGATGAAAAGAAGGCAAATTTTTAAAGTAGTGGACAAATGGCATATCATTATATTTTATTTCTCATTTAGTTTATGTCAAGGAATGGCACAGGTCTGGGAATGAACAGGAAACATTATCTAGCTATCCAGTGGGAGATAGATCCCTCCAGGAAGGAGTGAGGTCACAGTGTGAGACCACCCCTGGCGTTAGAGTGGCAGCATAATGCTCCCCCATTATGCCCCATCTTTTAGAACATCAAGACATTTCTCTATGCCTGGTATTAGCCTACCACATGACACTTTAAGTTACATGTAAGATCACTTACTGAACAGAGCCCTGGCATCATAGTCATATAGACTTAATTACAGTTCCTGGGTTTGCCACTTACTGTGTGATTTGTGCAGGTTATTTAAGTTTTGGGCTCCTGTAATTAGAGATAATAGTACTCATTTGGAAGAATTAAATAAGATCATGTGCATGAAGCATGTGGCACTGTGAAGGGTACATGGTAGGCACTCAGTAAGTGATCCTTCTTGTTAAGAACATCGATCTTGTAGACATGTAGTAATAGATAATGCTTTACTAATACAAGAAACACAAATATCTTTTGTAGGCCTCATCAGCATTTACCTCTTCTCTTTGCTCCACCATGGCTTAGTATCATGTAGGAAAACTTTTAGGCTTGAGTAATAAAAAAAAATGGAAAAGCCATCTATTGAAAACATTAGGAGGTTTACCTTTCTCTTGGAAGGAAAAGTCCAAAGATAGATTATGCAGGGCAAATGTGGCAGTTTTATGAGATTGTCAAAGAACTGGGCTCCTTCTGACTCTCGGCTCTGCCCTTCTTACTGTGTGACTGTATGGTCATCCGTGGTTCATACGGTCCAAGATGGCTACTTCTGCCTTCAGCTCCACATCTTAGTTCAGACAAGAGGAGTCATGATATACAAAAGGCCAAACTCTTCCCACGGACATGTTCTTCAGCCTTAAGAGCCAGAGCTGTAACACTGTTTACAGCTTCAAGTGAGGCTGAGAAATGCCATTTCATCTGTGGGTAAAGAAGGGGAGACTGGATATCAGATAGGTACCCTAAAGATGCCATGCATCCCGGCTTGACAACTTCCCCTTCGCCTGTGCCTGGGTCTGTCCTTCTTGCTGTCTACTATTTGAACACGACTCCTCTAATAGCCTCCGAAATTTCAAGGCAAATTTTTTTTAAAAGTAACATTTGTAATTTAGAAGAAGGAAGCATAGCATTCTGGAGACATTCTAAATATAACAATCATGAGTTACTTTAAAATCTAGAGTGATGATTATTAACCTTGTTGAGTGGAAAGTTTCTTTTAAAAATAAAATAAATTATGAGGTCTCACATATGAGACTAATTATAAGTAACTTACTAGTTGACAAAAAGTTATCCTTGATTTAGTAATTTTCATTCCACTAATAATACTGCTTGTACACTGAGAGCAGAAGGATTTCTAGCAGACTTTTTGCAGTAACTCAGTGTTTCTGCCCTCCATCCATGCCTCCATCCCCTGCCCATCTAGATGTTTGCAGCCAGGATTAGGGTACCAAGCTTGGTTGGGTAAGACCTTGATGGACTCCCAGATTGTCAGCACTTTTAACAGAGAGATGAATGGAGAACAGCAAGAATTGCCTCTTTGTTTTATATTCAGGGCTGGCTTCAGTCAGATCCAACATCCTGCTAGAGGTTCTGATATTCTCATGCCTTTAATAGCAAGGTAATCTCAATATGGTCTGGTTAAATGAGAGAGAGAGAGAGAGAGAGAGAGAGAGAGAGGGAGAGAGAGAGAGAGAGAGAACATCTGAACAAGCTTATGCCATTATCCTATTTTTCTCTCTGCTAGTGACTATCCACAGGTATTCAATAATCATCTGCTCCACCCCAGAAGTTCTGGGATATTCTCCAGGAGTAGTGTCCAGCAAGCCTGCTTGCTTTCTCCGGGACACTCCAGGGTTTACCCTGTTGCCTCTTCTATGGTGTGCATCACTCTGCCCAAAACCCCATGTGGATATTGTTCTTGGGATTTTCCTTGGTCCCTTACTCATATCCCACGTCAATCCTCCCCACAACCTAATCTTCTGCTGCCCCTTTAAGGTCTGCTAGGGAAGAAGGAAAGTTAAGATAGTCATAATGGTTTAGATGATTTTCTAGTGATTTATAATTTACAAAATATTATCTCATTTAGCTTCCATAACAATCTTTTTTTTCCCTTTAATTGTAGGTGGACACAATACCTTTTTTTATTTTTACGTGGTGCTGAGGATCGAACCTACTTCCCCATTCACACTAGGTAAGCCCTCTACCCCTGAGCCACAACCCCAGCCCCATAACAATCTTTTAAGGTTAACATAACCCCCACTTTGTAGAGGCAGAAAGGAAAAATGGGTTCAAGTAGCTGATGAGTGGCCAGGCTGGGAGCTGTCTGGCTGAAGGTCATCATTCCCCCAACCCCACCCCAAGCCATCACTAACACCTTAACAGATTACCCTCCCCCCTCAAAGGACACCTCATTCCCTGTCCAGGCATTTTACCTCAGACTGGCTGGAAGTCAGAAGGATTTCAAGAAAATGAAGGTCAGATAAATATTAAGGGTGTGAGGGAGATGGAAAGTTCTGGGGCATAAAGGGAAGCTAAAGATAGGATCAAAGGGGAAGAAGAGTGTGTTGGCATTGAGATATGTGAAGTCTGTGTAAGATGCAGTCGGCATCTTTACCCCTCTACAAGAAGACAAGGCAACTTCCATATGCCCAAAGGGCATTGTTCAGGGAAGTTACAACAAATAGCATGAACAGAAGAACACAGTGTACTTAAGATGAGTTCGTGTGTCTCAATGAGTGTAATTACCTTTTCAATAAAATGAGTTTTAAGTTTATAGCTTTAGGGGCAGATTTTTATGTTGTATATTTATTTTTATAAATAAAATATTTATACATAATATGCATTTACTAAATGCATATATGTTAATTATTTTATTTAGGACATATGTGCTATAACTTATATAAATCCATATACGATATCTATTTTTAAGTAACATACACAACTAAAATAATTGAAAATGTACTACCCAATAGTTACATGGTTTTGTGACATGATCCACACCTGCTGTCAGTTTTTCTTTTTGTTTTTTCATATTACAAAATTCACCCTTCAGGGGCTGGGGATGTGGCTCAAGTGGTAGCGCGCTCACCTGGCATGCGTGTGGCCCAGGTTCGATCCTCAGCACCACATACAAACAAAGATGTTGTGTCCGCCGAAAACTAAAAAATAAATATTAAAAAA